TGAAGGAAGTGTCTGGGGAGAGGGAAGTCTGGGCATCTTTGCTTAGACTGCTGCCCCCGCGACCCGGCCCCGGATAAGCGGAAGAAAAAAATGGATGGTTTAGAATGGAATATAACGTTTTTAATAGTCATTAATATGTATCCCCTAAATGTCTTTATCAACTGAGAATAAATGTCGCACATTGTAAAACACTGTCTAAAAAGATATTGGGAATGTGTATTGTACATCATCATCATCATCATCATCCTTTATTAACAGACTCAAGGTCCATACAAAAAAGAAATAAAAGAAAAAAAAAGAAAGGATATAAAAGAAGAAGAAAAAAAAATAAAAATCATAAAAGACATTTATACCAATGTTTCCACAGAGAGGATTGGTAACGTACTACACTAAAACCAGGATTAGCCAGCATCATTATAAGACTGTTCTCAGAGTTATTCACACGACAGATAAATCTGTACATCAGGTTTCTCATTAATGCCTGAAAGGTACTAACATGGACCTGTGAACACAACAGACTGGCGCTGGTGGACCTAGGCTTCTTAAGCAGAATCCTCAAGGCATCATTATAAGCAACTTTAAGTTTCTGTAAAGTAGCTACCTTATATTTACACCACAATGGGGCAGTATACAACGGTGTACAGTATGTTCTGAACAGATGAACTTTAACATTAGCAGAACACATGTGAAATTTCCTAACCAACATATTAGCTTGAGCATACAAAATGCGACACTGCCGATATATATCCTCATCATCAGAAAGCTGATCTGTAATGAAATGTCCTAAATATTTAGTTTTTCTACAGACACTCAACCTTTGTCCAGACAAACAAAAGTCTGGGAAACAAAGTTCTTTGTCCCCTTTAGTCCGACAGATCAGTACAACACTCTTTTCTGCATTATATTTCACATCATACTTCAATCCATAGTCCGAGCACACATTCAGCAGTTGCTGAAAACCAGCACTGCTGGGCGAAAGTATGGCCAAATCATCAGCATACATAAAATGATTTACAAGATTAGGGCCTATCATACATCCAGTGTTACATTTATTCAATTCTTCAGACAACTCATCCATATATAGGTTAAACAGGGCTGGTGACAGTAGCCCCCCCGGCGCATCCCATTACCAACACCAAACGAGGCTGAAATAGTCCCACCCCATTTAACCTGCATCTTCTGATTAGAGTACCAGTATGCCAAGATTCTCACAATGCTATCAGGAACCCCTTTTTTGCTTAATTTATCCAAAAGCTTAAAGTGATTAACCCTATCAAATGCCTTGGACGCATCAATAAAACCCATCAAGACCGAGGAGTTTTGTCTGAGGTACTTCTGTGCTACCTCCTTCAGACTGTAGATACACAGATCTGTCCCCAGCTTGGATTTAAAACCAAACTGATTATGTGTGGTTGTTATACAATGACACAGGCGATCAAGCAATATCTTCTCAAGAACTTTAGATATAACACTGGCCAAAGCTATTGGCCTATAGTTATCCAGACTCCCAACTTTGCCAGCTTTGTCCTTCATAACAGGCACTAAGGTAACAGACAATAAAGAATCAGGTAGCAAACCATGAGTCATGAACCCAGAGAAGCACAAAGCAAGCAACACAGCAATCTTTGGGCTTGCATGCTTCAGATGTTCCGCTGTAATATTATCCGCACCAGCTGCCTTATCATCGGACAATTGCATTATTGCTCGATGCACCTCACTAGAAGTGATCACCACAGCATCCTCACTAGCAATGCTTCCCACTACATAGGGATCACTTTTAACACAATTAAACAATGCAGAATAGTGTTCTCTCCACAGATCAGCAATATTATCAGCCCCAGATACTCCCTCTATGTGGCACTGGGCAGTGGTGAATTAACCCTATTCAGAGCCTTCACCTCATTCCAAAATCCCAAAACATTATTGTGTGCCAATTTTTCAGCCATAGCATCCGCTCTCATATTCTGTTCACATTTAGTGATATAGCGAACAGCATATTTATACCTTGCCCCAGTGACACATAGCAATCTTTTCTTAAATCACTGATTGATGAATTGTATATAAGGAGGCTCAAAACAACCTGAGGCACCAGCTCAGAAATCATTCATCGCAGCAGAACTTTGTCCCTCACCTCTTGTCGTTTTAGCTCTTTTGGACTCAGAGTTTGTGTCGCTCCCAGTTGGACATCAAACGTCTCACTCCAAAGCTTGCTGTCACGGCGCTTGGCGGTTGGGGCCGCTGCCGTGGTGACTCGAGTTGCAGTCATTGAGGAGGAAGGGTTGGATACTGTAGCTGAGATAACTCGTGTCTTCGTTGTCAAGGAGGAGGGAGGAGGGGGAGGAGGAGCTGCTCTCTCCATCCGACTCTCATTACGAAAACTGATGGAGCGCTGCAGAAACAGAGAAAGTTTAAACCAGATAAACAGAAAAATATTGGATTCAGCATCAGTAGCACAGAGCGACAAAGTGGGAGGAGCTAGTTTAGGTGCCCCTAGATGTAGAATGAAATGTCCCATTCATTTCCATGTACATCTCTCATTTTGTTTAGCATTAAACTATCTTAGTTTAATCATCAGCACAAAATATCAACTGAGTTAAAAAATATTTGGGTCTTCAATTTAAAGAAATTAAAGTACAAGTCCCTGTGCATAGAAACATCAGGGGAGAAGTTAACTACATCTTCCAAAATGCATTGCAGCAACAACCATCCAATCACTGAGCTGAAAATGTGTTATGTTCACCGCTGACAGCAGGTCAGAGATAAAGAGTAGGATGTTGATAAAGCTAATGCTATAAGTTGCAGATTTAATGAATTTACTTTTGAATTCTGGGTCCATTTTGGAAGAATTCAACAATTATGTCTCTGTATTTTGGTCACAATTTCAATGATAAAACATTTTGAATTTGCTACCATGCTATCTAGATTCTTCTCCATGGCAACCTCAGTTAAACCTTATAGGTACTGTAGTATTTAATATAACTCTAAGGGATTATAATATTATTAGGGGTAGTCTTGTGTTTCTAAATGGGAATAGGAAAACACTTCAGGAACCAGTGGACCCTCACTTCCAAATTTAACTGACTTAAAACAAAACAAAGGCAGAGGCATCTGATTGGTGGTTCACCTGCAGCGTTTGACCAATCCTCTTCAGTGGTGTAGTCTTGACGGGCGGCAGCAGGCTGGCCAGAGATGTCATCCTGGGTGCAGCTTTACTGCGCTTGTTGCTGGGCTCCTGTAGGACAGAACAGAATTAAGTTATGTCCTCTGATCCATGTGTGGCTTCACAAAGTCTATATGATGAGTGAAGTCCACAACCCGCCTGATGACTTCCACACTGACCATCAGGTTACAGGGCGACTGATTCTAACACCATCTGAATCCTGTCATGATGATATTTTGTTCTTGTATATTCTCAAAATTTCTAAACAGACTTTATTTAAGTCATTATTCATATAACCTAAACATTTCAGACACTGTGGTATACATTAATGTATATTATGACCCCTGAAAAAAATTCCCAAGCCTCCCTCATATGCAGGCTACAGGCAAAAACATCTTTTGCAACACAACCAGCAGCCTGTATAGTTATGAGAACAACTATATTATATACTCTAATGTAACACTGACATACACTCTATTAGTATTTGGTAGTGTTGCCTTTTAATTGTTTAACTTGGGTCAAACATTTCAGGAAGCCTTCCACAAGCTTCTTACAGTAAGTTGATGGAGATTTACCCCATTCCTCCTGAACTGGTGGAGCTGAGTCAGGTTTGGAGGCCTCCTTACTCACACACACTTTTTCAATTGTGCCTACAAATATGGCAGACATATATAGTCAAATACACGTAAATGTGTGTTGGTAAAGGGATATCAGTTTAACCAATGGCTTGTCAACACTGACAGTTCCTGTGTTGTTGATTGTTCTTTGGACATTGGGTATATGAGTGTTCGCCACACGTGAAGTAAGTCTTCAACGCTGACTGTGCTCTTGATATGCTTCTGTGGCGCCAGCCGCGGGCGCTAGCAGCGAGCGACGGCCTTGGGCGCTACACCTGCCCGATCTTATGTTCTCCTGTGTCTCTCCTGTCATCTCAACGTCCGCCGTTCTCCTGCTCGACCTGGTCTCCTCAGCCATCATTGTCCTACCCTGGTTAGGAACTATACATGTACTCTGGTGAGTACATGTATAGTACATGCCACAAAATTACAACACAATACCAATGGTTTTATAACCCTACAGTTACATTTTTAATACAAGGGCCTTGGTTGGGAAGCATGAGCTCAGGTCTCCAAATATATTTTAATGGTCACACCAACTTAAAATTAAATCCACCACTGGAATTCATTCCTAATAATTTATTGTCATTTATTATCACGAACATTATTTTTTAAATAAGATAAACTAGTTCTCAGTATATTGCTACAGATATGAACTTGGTCAAACAGTGTTGCTGCACATCAGGACGCATCATCTCTAAGATACCTACAGGATGCAGCCAGGGTTGATCTGCAGTCGGTGTTTGTGAATCCAAATCCACGTTAAAAATGATATATAACACATAAAGCAGCTCAAGAGCCAAGACAAATAACAAACACCCTGCAGACGTCTCTATTAAAGCCGTTTTCAGATCAGACACAGTATGAGCTGCGCCCGCACTGGGGGGTGGGCACAACACAGGGGAGGAGGGTGCACATGTGCAAATCGTGCATGTTAGGCGCCACTCTTTAAACGTGACCATGTGTTTTATGGCGATTTCTACTACAGAGAGACTGAACAACAAGCACCTTTAAGAAGAAATGAACAGCAACACGAAGATGTAAACTGTCCTGTCCATCCATCCATTTTCCTCTGCTTATCCGGAACCGGGTCGCGGGGTTCCTCCGCTTATCCGGAACCGGGTCGCGGGGGCAGCAGCCTAAGCAAAGATGCCCAGACTTCACTCTCTCCAGACACTTCCTCCAGCTCCTCCGGAGGGATGCCGAGGCGTTCCCAGGCCAGCCGAGAGTTGTATTAAACTTTATTTAAAGTGTATGTGTTACCCATCATATACAGCTTTAAACATCACTACTCAAAAGTGCAAACCCATACTGAAACCATAAGAATATTAATAACAACAAAACTTACTCAATAAAAACAGAGATAGTTGAACCTTTTTAGGAATTTTATTGAGATTTTAAAAGAGTAGTTGGAGTAATTAATTAATTACCGCTTAATCCCTTAACAGGGTCACGGGCTGGAGCCAATCCCAGCCGGCAATTGGGTGAAGGCGGGGTACACCCTGGATAGGGCACCAATCCATCGCAGAGCTAACACAGTGACAAACAACCACACACACCAATCAACCTTAGCTGCATGGCTTTGGACTGTGGGAGGAAGCCGGAGCACCCGGAGAGAACCCACGCAAGCACGGGGAGAACATGCAAACTCCACACAGAAAGGTCCCGGGTGGGGCCCGAACCCAGAACCTTCGCGCTGTGAGGCAACGGTGCTAACCACTGCGCCACCGTGCTGTCCCCGAGTAATTAATTACCACAGGTAATTAATTTGGGTGTTACTAAATGACATGGCACATAGGCAAACAACCACATTTACTCCTAGGGGCAATTTAGAGTCTCCAATTAACCTAAGCTGCATGTCTTTGGTATGTGGGAGGAAACCGGAGCGCCCGGAGAAAACCCACGCAGGCACAGGGAGAACATGCAGACTCCACACAGAAAGGCCCCAGGTCGGCCCGGCCTGTGAGGCAACAGTGTTAACCACTGCGCCACTGTGCCGCTCTTAATTTTTTAATTAATTAATGTGTCACTACACGTGACGGCCCTGTCATGTGATTTAGTAAAACATCTGGCCAAATTGATTATTTTTTTTTTAGAAAGTTTTAACAGCAGCCTTTTGACTTGTCCGGTGATTCCAATTTAAATATCTGCTGTGAAAGGGGTTTGGTTTATTTCTTCCACTTCTGTGGTTTTCTCAGTCCCAGAAAGTGGCGGAATCTTTTCCAGCGTGACTTCTGTTTTGTCGTCTCTGTCATGATCTTTTCAGAGACCACAGCATTCTCTGTGAGTTCTTCATCATGGAGGGCACTAGGGAGGGGCTCCTGGTCCTCACATGGTTCAGGCTCAGGCTGTTCACAGCTGGACAGTTTCTCAGCTTCGAGCTGAGTGGAGAGCTGCAGATTGAGTGAGGTTTGAAGCTTGAGCTCATCTCTCAGCTCCTCCAGCTCTCTCTGATAGAGCGAGGCCTTATGATCAGCTTCTTTCTGCATTCTAAGGACCTCTTCTGCCATCTCTTTACGAAGGCTGTCGTTCTCAGTCCTCAAGGTGTCGATCAGCTGTTGACCTTGCTCCGCCATGTCTGCATGAGTGAGCTTTTCATTTTCTAGCTCATGCTGAAGGGCGACTTTCTCCATCTTCAGGGTGTCGATCAGGTAGATATATTGCTCCACCATGTTGGCGTGAGACTTGTTTTCATCCTCACACTCAGGCTGAAGGCTTTCAACCTGCTGCCTGAGTGTGAGGGTATCGTTTTCATATCTTACGCTGAGCTCATGGTGTGAAGCTCTGAGCTTCTCCAGTTCTTCTTGGAGAGTCTTGTTCTTGTTCCTCTCCACATTGAGCTCACCCATAAACCTCTTCTGGGTTGTCATGTGTGCTTCTTGCAGCTCCTCGTAATCTTTTTGAAGATCTTTTTTCTTCATCCTCTTGATATCATTGCCAGACTGAGTGGCAGTGTTTGAGGCACTGAGAGCTTCTGCATCACTGTACTCCCTCTGCCTCTCAAGCTCCTTTGTGGTTTCTTTTTCCTTAATGATAAAGGTGTCAGTCTTGACTTTCAGGAAATACATCATGTGCTGTCGACCTGTACTGTTTTACATTCTCAGTTTGCACATGCATAATTGCACATTGACTGTTGACTGCTGCACATGCTGCTCCCATGCAGCATACATTCTCTATTATATTCTTATATATTTTTATTATACTGCTGCTTAAAGTGCCTTAGATTTTGTGTTACTTATTTATCTACTTTATATTTTATTTGTATTTTGTGGCATTCATGTGGACGGCAAAGTAAGAATTTCATTGTACAGGGAAACACATTTCCTAACTGTGCATATGACAAATAAACACTTTGACCATTTTTCCTAGAGTTGACATAAGAAGGAACTGAGACTATACTCAGGCAGGAAAGTAAAACTTAGAGATTTGCATCTTACAAAATGGAACAGTAACATGGTCAAACTTTCACAAACAATATTCAAAACATTACAAAGTAAATAAGCTAGTTATTTAACATTGGTGCAGCATGCAGGGGCGACACATGCAACCTTGGGCCATGCTCAGCTCAGCGCAGTGCAGATATGTTCATGCACCAAGCAACACATAGAAATGAATGGGTTTGATAGTGGAGTGCAGCGCCCACTGCATCCTATCTGAAAACGGCTTTACGCAGCAGGTAAAGTCAGTCCGACCTCACTGCTGTCACTGTTACAGTTTCTCCAAACGAACAAGATTCACACAGACATACCTGTGTTACTACCACGGGGATATATGTTGTGTCTGTTATTGCATTTTATGGCAGTTTGATCAGCTCTGAAAGCAGCTGTAGGTAGAGGTAAAGTGGACAACATAACCAGTGGCTGTGAGCTCTGGTGGACCACAGTCAGTTTCACCATAGACACACTGATTACAATATGATTTTGTTGTATAATTCAAAAACAGAAATGTTCATAAGATTACATGTGAGATGGATTTAGGTGTGACTAAATGACACTATATAACTTCTGCTAGTTGCAGGACCAGAGACTTTCTTTGTTCCATGCACAAAAGCTGGTCAGTGATATCAGCAGGATGCTGAGTGAATATTTATGTGCAGTACTTCTAAATAGCTTTGCC